CCTAATCTGCCATGGGCCCCTGTACCCGCCTCCTCATGCTGCTGCCAGGTCCACAGTGTCTCATGCCATGTGCCACTTTCAGGTCTCCTCACACTGCTGGTGTTTTCCATTTTTTGTCATAGGGTGCTGGCAGATTTACGGGCCTCCCATAGCTGCTGCCAGGCCCCTAATCTGCCATGGGCCCCTGTACCGCCTTCCTCATGCTGCTGCCAGGTCCACAGTGTCTCATGCCATGTGCCACTTTCAGGTCTCCTCACACTGCTGGTGTGTTCCATTTTTTGTCATAGGGTGCTGGCAGATTACGGGCCTCCCATAGCTGCTGCCAGGCCCTAATCTGCCATGGGCCCCTGTACCGCCTCCTCATGCTGCTGCCAGGTCCACAGTGTCTCATGCCATGTGCCACTTTCAGGTCTCCTCACACTGCTGGTGTGTTCCATTTTTTGTCATAGGGTGCTGGCAGATTACGGGCCTCCTATAGCTGCTGCCAGGCCCCTAATCTGCCATGGGCCCCTATACCGCCTCCTCATGCTGCTGCCAGGTCCAGAGTCTCTCATGGGTCCCTGTACGGCCTCCCATTGCTGCTGTCTCCATCGCCACACTCTGCCATGTGCCACTTTCAGGTCTCCTCACACTGCTGGTGTGTTCCATTTTTTGTCATAGGGTGCTGGCAGATTACGGGCCTCCCATAGCTGCTGCCAGGCCCCTAATCTGCCATGGGCCCCTGTACCGCCTCCTCATGCTGCTGCCAAGTCCAGAGTCTCTCATGGGTCCCTGTACGGCCTCCCATTGCTGCTGTCTCCATCGCCACACTCTGCCATGTGCCACTTTCAGGTCTCCTCACACACTGCTGGTGTGTTCAAATTTTTGACATAGGGTGCTGGCAGATTACGGGCCTCCCATAGCTGCTGCCAGGCCCCTAATCTGCCATGGGCCCCTATACCGCCTCCTCATGCTGCTGCCAGGTCCACAGTGTCTCATGCCATGTGCCACTTTCAGGTCTCCTCACACTGCTGGTGTGTTCCATTTTTTGTCATAGGGTGCTGGCAGATTACGGCCTCCCATAGCTGCTGCCAGCCCCTAATCTGCCATGGGCCCCTGTACCGCCTCCTCATGCTGCTGCCAGGTCCACAGTGTCTCATGCCATGTGCCACTTTCAGGTCTCCTCACACTGCTGGTGTGTTCCATTTTTTGTCATAGGGTGCTGGCAGATTACGGGCCCCCATAGCTGCTGCAGGCCCCTAATCTGCCATGGGCCCCTGTACCGCCTCCTCATGCTGCTGCCAGGTCCACAGTGTCTCATGCCATGTGCCACTTTCAGGTCTCCTCACACTGCTGGTGTGTTCCATTTTTTGTCATAGGGTGCTGGCAGATTACGGGCCTCCTATAGCTGCTGCCAGGCCCCTAAATCTGCCATGGGCCCCTATACCGCCTCCTCATGCTGCTGCCAGGTCCAGAGTCTCTCATGGGTCCCTGTACGGCCTCCCATTGCTGCTGTCTCCATCGCCACACTCTCTGCCATGTGCCACTTTCAGGTCTCCTCACACACTGCTGGTGTGTTCCATTTTTTGTCATAGGGTGCTGGCAGATTACGGGCCTCCCATAGCTGCTGCCAGGCCCCTAATCTGCCATGGGCCCCCTGTACCCGCCTCCTGCTGCTGCCAAGTCCAGAGTCTCTCATGGGTCCCTGTACCGCCTCCCATTGCTGCTGTCTCCATCGCCACACTCTGCCATGTGCCACTTTCAGGTCTCCTCACACACTGCTGGTGTGTTCAAATTTTTGACATAGGGTGCTGGCAGATTACGGGCCTCCCATAGCTGCTGCCAGGCCCCTAATCTGCCATGGGCCCCTGTACCGCCTCCTCATGCTGCTGCCAGGTCCACAGTGTCTCATGCCATGTGCCACTTTCAGGTCTCCTCACACTGCTGGTGTGTTCCATTTTTTGTCATAGGGTGCTGGCAGATTACGGGCCTCCCATAGCTGCTGCCAGGCCCCTAATCTGCCATGGGCCCCTGTACCGCCTCCTCATGCTGCTGCCAGGTCCACAGTGTCTCATGCCATGTGCCACTTTCAGGTCTCCTCACACTGCTGGTGTGTTCCATTTTTTGTCATAGGGTGCTTGCAGATTACGGGCCTCCTATAGCTGCTGCCAGGCCCCTAATCTGCCATGGGCCCCTATACCGCCTCCTCATGCTGCTGCCAGGTCCAGAGTCTCTCATGGGTCCCTGTACGGCCTCCCATTGCTGCTGTCTCCATCGCCACACTCTGCCATGTGCCACTTTCAGGTCTCCTCACACTGCTGGTGTGTTCCATTTTTTGTCATAGGGTGCTGGCAGATTACGGGCCTCCCATAGCTGCTGCCAGGCCCCTAATCTGCCATGGGCCCCTGTACCGCCTCCTCATGCTGCTGCCAGGTCCACAGTGTCTCATGCCATGTCCCACTTTCAGGTCTCCTCACACTGCTGGGTGTGTTCCATTTTTTGTCATAGGGTGCTGGCAGATTACGGGCCTCCTATAGCTGCTGCCAGGCCCCTAATCTGCCATGGGCCCCTATATACCGCCTCCTCATGCTGCTGCCAAGTCCAGAGTCTCTCATGGGTCCCTGTACGGCCTCCCATTGCTGCTGTCTCCATCGCCACACTCTGCCATGTGCCACTTTCAGGTCTCCTCACACTGCTGGTGTGTTCCATTTTTTGTCATAGGGTGCTGGCAGATTACGGGCCTCCCATAGCTGCTGCCAGGCCCCTAATCTGCCATGGGCCCCTATACCGCCTCCTCATGCTGCTGCCAAGTCCAGAGTCTCTCATGGGTCCCTGTACGGCCTCCCATTGCTGCTGTCTCCATCGCCACACACTCTGCCATGTGCCACTTTCAGGTCTCCTCACACTGCTGGTGTGTTCCATTTTTTGTCATAGGGTGCTGGCAGTTTACGGGCCTCCCATAGCTGCTGCCAGGCCCCTAATCTGCCATGGGCCCCCGTACCGACTCCTCATGCATGCTGCTGCCAGGCCCGTAATCTGTCATGGGCCCCTGTTGTCGCTTGTTGGCATATTACGCTCGTTCAGATGCTCCTTCTCCTGCTACTCCTCTTCACGGATTCCGTCAGCAGTCTTTCTTGGAATCCGTTTCCAAGAGACAACAGTTTTTGCGAGCACGCACCCGACGGTGCAGAAGCTGAACGTCCTCCTGTCCAAGTTGCTGCTGCCAGGCTCGTAATCTGTCATGCGCCCCTGTACCGCCTCCTCATGCTGCTGCCAGGTCCAGAGTGTGTCATGGGCCCCCGTACCGACTTCTCATGCTGCTGCCAGGCCCGTAATCTGTCATGGGCCCCTGTACCGCCCCCTCATGCTGCTGCCAGGTCCAGAGTGTGTCATGGGTCCCTGTACGGCCTCCCATTGCTGCTGCCAGGCCCGTAATCTGCCATGGGCCCCCGTACCAACTCCTCATGCTGCTGCCAGGCCCGTAATCTGTCATGGGCCCCTGTACCGCCTCCTCATGCTGCTGCCAGGTCCAGAGTGTGTCATGGGTCCCTGTACGGCCTCCCATTGCTGCTGTCTCCATCGCCACACTCTGCCATGTGCCACTTTCAGGTCTCCTCACACTGCTGGTGGTTTCCATTTTTGTCATAGGGTGCTGTATGGCCTCCCATTGCTGCTGCCTCCACCGCCACACTGTGGCTCCACACTCTGGTTTTGGCCCCTCGAATCGAAATTTTTCCACGAATTCGCCGAATCAGTCGAATCGAATTTTTGAATACTTCGCTCATCTCTAATGCAGACCATTACAACCAAAAGGAAGAATACTACAGGTTATCACAGTGCCCCTTGAAGTTTGGTGGGTTTTTTTTTATTGATTTAATTAATTTATTTTCCAGTGTCATCTAGTCAACCAGTGAAAGTAAATCTGCCCATATTATATTTGGTATTATACAGTATTTCACTGTCCCAATTCCAATGCTAGGCAACAGAAGTTATAAATGATTTGAACTCAACTGTATTTTAAGATACATTTTGTTTATTTCTCTCACAAAATGCATTTCTTTTATGTCATTTTATTTTAAACAACACAAAAATTGCTCAATTATAAAACAAAATCATAAAAATATGAATACAAAAAAAGTGAATTTTACTGTCATTTCTGAAAAATGATGAAGCACTATGCCTTTAAAAAGAAAACTGTTTCTACCCCATAATAACGATACCAAAATACCTAGCTGAAAAAGTCTTGTGGTATTTTCTTTCTTTTGACAGTGCAACAAAAATGTGTACCTTAAAACACTGCCTAACTTTTGAAAAACAACATGTTAAAAAGGGACATAAAATAGACACATATTCCGTAGACATTGCAATACATGTTTTTCATATATTAAAGTGCACTTGTGCTGTACCCATGTACAGCAAAACAATAGATTCTGTATTAACTGCAGAACCTCCCCTCTCCCGCAGCAACTCATATTTACCTTCATTTTCTGTTTTCTAACAGCCGCGGGTGCTTGCTGAAAGAATACAATAACTGGCATGGGAGATTTGCTGTTTTGCATTGACGGAAGAATTTGTTTTTTTTTCTATGCATTTAAACCCACCCCAAAGCCATAGTAAAGTCCACTTTTTTTGTTTATACAGTACCTACAGGTAAGCCTATAATAAGGTTTACCTGTAGGTACAGTAAATATCACCTAAACATGCACCTTTTAGGAGATATTTACTTTAGTAGCAGCTGATGACCTCACCAATGCATGTGCACTGCGCTCTCAAAGGAGGTCATGCTGTCTATTGAGAGAGCATGCACGGGAGTGATGTCCTCAGGGCTCGGCCATTCAAATGACCTGCACCCGCGAACCCGAAAGGAAGACCAGTTGAAGATGGAAACCCTGTCAGTGGTGGCAGCGTGCCACTGGAGAGCTTTGTTTTATGGTAAGTCTGTCATAATGTGCTAGTATGTATACTAGCACAGGGCTTAAAATTTCAAGTCCTGAGCTACTAGCCAGGCCTTAGAGTTACTCGCCACCAACAAACACACACAAACAGAGACACCTGTACACACACACAGACATGTACATACACACACAGAAACATGTACACACACGCACAGAGAGACATGTACAAACACACACATACAGACACATGTATACACACACAGACACGTACAGACATGCATACACACAGACACATGTACATACATGCACAGACACATGTACATACAAACACAGACACATGTACATACATACACACAATAAACACAAACACACACACACACACATGTACATACACACACAGACACATGTACACACACACATACATGTACATACACGCAGACATGTACAGATACACACATGTACATACACACAGACACATGTACAATTGTACATGCATACACAGACACACACAAACACACACACACATGTACACGTACACACACACCACCACCCCACCCCCCATAAAAAGTTGCAGTACTTCGTTGTTCACTCACAGATCTGGGTACTGCACTCTAAGGGGAGGCAGAGAGCACAGCACACACTCCTTGCTTTGCTTTCACTGCGCGCAGCTATTGAGCAGTCTGACGGCTCCCAGTGCCAATGACAGATCCAGCCTGAGCTCCGAGTCTGCTCAGCAAGACGGCCCTGGGGGACACACTTGCCCCCACCATAATTTCCACTCGCCATTGGTGAGCAGGCGAGTGGAAATTTCAAGCCCTGTACTAGCACATTATGACATTAACCTGCAGGTGCCCAATTTATATTTTTGCATTTTCCTACTTCTTTGGGCCTTCAGATACAAGCTTTTTGGAGGCTAAAGGTTTTGCTGCTTCCCCACCACTCTTTAAAGTATCACATCCTTTTTTTATGCAGTTTTAACAATGTACACACCATATGATCACTTGTTCTGAAAACGTATCGAAAACTGTTTGGTTCTTCTAATAGGAGCTACATCATTAGATCTGTTTAATCACTTGCCCTCCTGAGGATTTACCCCTCTTCCTGACCAGACCATTTTTTGCATTACGGTGCTGCGTTACTTTAATTGCGAGGTCATGCAGCACTGCACCCCAATGAAATTTATGTCCTTTTTTCCCACAAATTGAGCTTTCTTTCGGTGGTATTTGATCACCTGTGTGTTTTTTTATTTTTTGCGCTATAAAAAAAAAAGCCGTCAATTTTGAGAAAAAACACATTATTTTTGACTTTTTGCTATTAAACATGTCCAGTAAAAAAATTAAAAAAAATAAAATCTCGTCATAAAATTTAGGCCAAAATGTATTCTGCTACATGTCTTTGCTAAAAAAAAAAAATCCCAATACGTGTAAATTAATTGGTAAATGAATTCGGTGTTTTGGTGCTTCACTGTAAACACACTACTCTGGATGCTGTGCTGTGCACAACCATCCAGAGCAGTGTCCCCGAGCTGACAGAGAGGAGGACTGTTAGTAAACAAAGCAGTCCTCCTCCCCATCGGAGATAGTCGTAATCACCGGGCGTTGGCAGGAAATCACCGGCTGGGACCCGGTGATTGACAGCCGCAGCCGCGCGAATGGCGGCGATGGTAGGGTGCATGCACACCCCCTACCTATAAATATAAAATCAAGTAAATATATACGTGATTTTGCACACCCTGCTGCCCTGTAGCAGTATATCTGCTATAGGGCAGTCGGGATGTGGCTAAAGAGCAGTAAGGGCCTGTTCTTAGGGTGGAATGTGTAACATGTTCCCAATGCTATAGCTGCTGGCTGCCCACTGCCCCCCCCCCCCCCCCCCCCCCAATGACAGAAGTTCGAGGAGAAGCTGTCAATTATTAGAGTAAATTGCTGTGTAGAGTAGGGACCGCGCGAGAGCCTTGCGCGCCCCCTACCTGCCCCACCATTCGCGGCCGCTGATGTCAATTGTGATTACCCACAAGCGCCCAGTGATTACCAACAATCACTGAAGGGGAGGAGGGCTGCTTTGTTTACCAACAGTCCTCCTCCCTGTCAGCTCGGGCACACTGCTCTGGATGGCTGTGCTCAGCCACTGCACTGTGCCTGTATATAAATAGTGGTTGCACCATGCATGTGAGGTATCGCCACGAACGTCAGATCAAGGGCAGTAATTCTAGCACTAGAACCCCTCTGTAAATCTAAAATTGTAGCTTGTAAAGGCTTTTAAAGCGTTGCCTATGGATATTAAAAATGTATGCAGTTTGTCGCTATTGCACGGGGCATGCACAGTTTTAAATCATGACATGTTTGGTATCTATTTACTCAGCATACCATCATCTTTTATACTTTACCAAATAATTGGCCAATATATTGTGTTTTTGTGCATTAAGAGTAAAAAAGGTGAATTTTTTAAAATTTATTTGATTTTGAAAAATCGTTGCTCGAGTACTATGTGACATAAAAAAATTGCAGCACCCACCATTTTATTCACTAGGGTGTCTGCTTTAAACACATATATAATGTTTGAGGGTTCAAAGTAATTTCCTAGCACAAAATACAGATTTGTTTCATGAGAACAAAAAGTGTCAGAAAAGGCTTGGTCTTCAGGTGGTTAGAAGAGTGAGTGATGTGTGGCAAAAACTTCTAATGTTGGGCATAAAATACCCCCTTCCCCACCAAAAACAATTACCCCTTTTTGAAAGTAGACACCCCGAACTAGTTGCTGAGAGGCATGTTGAGTCAATAGAAGAATTTATTTTTTACAAGTTTTTGGAAAATGATCCCTTTTTGGAAAGTAGACACCCCAAGGAATTTAATAAGAAGCATGGTGAGTATTTTGCAGATCTCGTTTGTTGCCACAAGTTTTTGGAAAATTTGGAAGAAAAAAAACAAAAACATATTTTTTCTTTTTTTTTTTTATATTTTAAAACCTTGTGAGAAAAAATGAGATCTGTAAAATACTCATCATGCCTCTTTTTAAATTCTGTGGGGTGTCTACTTTCTAAAAAGGGGTCATTTGGGGGGGGTTTGGTGCTATCCTGGCATTTCAGTGCCTTTGAAACTGTGTAGATAGTGAGGAAATGAAATGAGGATGTTACGCACCTGCAGGCTTTCAAAGTGGTCATTGGATTTCAGGCTCCTGTATGTGGCTAGGTTCCCAAAAAGTCTTACACATGTGGTATCCCCATACTCAGTAGAAGTAGCAGAATGTATTTTGAGGTGTAATTCCACATTTACCCATGGGCTTGTGTGAGCAATATATCATTTAAGTGACACCTTTGTGTAAAAAAATAAATGTTTTTGTCATTTTGCAAAAACTCGTGGAAAAAATAAATCTTCCATGGACTCAGTATGCTTCTCAGCAGATAGCTTAGGGTGTCTGCATTCCGAAAAGGGGTAATTTGGGGGTGTTTGTACTGTCCTGGTATTTTAGCACCTCAAGAAATTTTATAGGCAGTCAGAAAGTAAAAGCTGTGTAAATTCCATGATCTATACCATGGGTGTCAAACTGGCGGCCCTCCAGCTGTTGCCAAACTACAAGTCCCATGAAGCATTGCAAGATTGACAGTTACAAGCATGACTCCCAAAGGTAGAGATATGATGAAACACCCCTGATCTATGCCATAGTTTGCAGATGCTATAACTTTCACACAAAGCAATCAATATACACTTATTGGGATTTTTTTTACCAAAAACATATAGCAGAATACATTTTGGTCTAAATTTATAACAAAATTTGATTTTTTTCATTTTTTACTGGATATGTTTAATAGCAAAATGTAAAAAATATTTTTTTCTTCTCAAAATTTTTTTTATAGCACAAAAAATAAAAACCGCACTTGCGATCAAATACCTCCTAAAGAAATCTGTGGGAAAAAAAGGACGTCAATTTAATTTGGGTGCAGCGTTGCATGACCGCGCAATTGTCAGTTAAAATAATGCAGCGTCGTAACGCAAAAAATAGCCTGGTCAGGAAGGGGGGTAAATCCTCAGGAGAGCAAGTGGTTAAACACAGTTAAAATCAATAGCAATGCTTAAAATGAACAATTGAGTGACATCATCTTGACCATTTCATGGACAATTTGGCAGTGTTTACACACATTTCAAAGGAATTTTGTTGCATATTGAAGGAATGGTCTTTGGGGCAATTGACAACAAAAATACTAAGGCACCATACCAGGTAAAATCAATAGAAATATTTAAAGGTAATGGAAAAATTAGGAGAAGGTCGCTTTTAAGGTTGTTTTCAAGACTTTTAAAGACTTTGAATTGCTTCTGAGTGCCTTTTGTTTGCTTTTGGGTGTAGTTTTTTGCTTAACTGATTTTTAGACAAAAGCGTAAAAAAGGTGTGAAGATAGCATGTATTTTTTTCTTTGTTATTTGCTCGTTTTTTGCGAATTTGTTTTTTTTCAACACAAGATTTAGAATCATGATCACTGTGCCTGACTGCACATGATGTAAAAAAAAGTACAACCATATTGTGGATTTGTTTTACATTTTTGTCCCTTCTTTTATTTTTTTTGCATTTTTTTTCCATGTTTTGTTTTTTGCAGTTTTATAGAAAATAGGAAAAACATTGTTTGCACTTTTAACACTGGGTACATCGTTGTATTACTTGTCTGTTTACATTTTTTAATCTGCTGTTATTTTTTCTATCGTCTATAAAACTTCAACCTCAAAGTATCAGGTATGCAAATAGGGAAAGAACATGTACATTTTTTTAATTTCAAATGTTATTTTGTTGTTTTTTATTTTTTGTCAACTGTTATAAATGCACCCTTATTATGTGAACAAAGACCAATTTGTTGAGAACTGTGGTGTGAATTAAGGATATTGGTGTTAGTCATCAATGTCCTCAGTTCACCTTCACAGTCCTCCCCAGAGCGTTTGTTTAGTGCTTTAGACAATAGCTATGAAAATAGCACCCAGGAACAAGCAGCTGCCTCAGCACTCCTTTTCAGAGTTTTTTAGGGCCTCTTCACACTGCTCCATTGAAAAACATAGTAAAAAGCATATGTGTTTTAGATGCATTTTTGGTGTATTTTCTGGTTGCCTGACTCCAGTCAGCACACCATTCATTTCAATTAGGAGGTGCTTTTTGGAGAGCTTACATGCACCAAACATGCAGGACTTTTATAAATGCATGCATCTGCAACGCATTGGTCTGAAGAGTTCCATATGATTTAAATAGTTAAATTTTTCATGCCTTTTTGTATCTCTTTTTAGACTCAAAAGAGCATCAAGAACTGATCACTATGAGAGGGCCCTTAAACCACATCAGCCAGACCTGGTTGTAGGTGCCACTAATAGACAGCCCCTGAACCACATGATTGCTGACTACCTCAGGTTCAGGGCTGATTTGGATACTCTCAGAAGTGAGCACCCCATGGACACCCCAGGTGTCCAGGTTAGAAAATATGGTCAGAGCTTGCACAGTATTCACAGGAACTTCTGGCTTGCCCTGCATCCAGGTTGCTTGTGCTGTTTGAGAGAGCAAATCTGGAGCTGCAAAAATTACCACCTCCAAGACTGGCATTCTGAGCCCCTCTTTGTCTAAGCTTTTTGCACCGCACCCCTTCCCAATAATTATAATATTATAATCTAGCGGAAGTCTCTGGCCGGGGCAGCCACAGAATAGGAGATTCCCAGCTTCAATTTTTTTTTATTTGTTTTTATTTTCCATATTTCTGTTTTTTATTTAGATTTTTTTTTTTCTTTTTATAATTTGACGGAGGGTTTCGGTGCAGATGAGGTGAGGTTGTGTGACGTTTTGCATGAAA